GGTGTAAGAGAGAACAAGATGTATGGGGGTCAGCCCTTTAATAGTAATAAATAGCTTTATAAATACCTGATTTTTATCTTGAATATTAAGAATTTAAAATATAGAATATAAATATACATTTGACCCTCCCTAAATCAGTTGATACCATTGTAATGCATTCAATCATGCCAATCAATGCTCAGAAAAACATCATTCAACAGTCTGAAATTGGCAGTTCTTGAGAACCTATAGACATTTTAAGTATTCACAAAACAAGTCTCTGTTAAAATAGGGGTTTATATCTGCATGTAGCCTAAAAAAAAAAAAAATTAGACACAATTTGTATTGTTTGACCTACAGTAACCTCTAAAATAGTCTAAATATCCCTCAAAACATTAAAAAGTTATATATTTTAATAAATTATGTGTAATTTAAATGCATTCATAAATTTAATTCACTGAAGCATGTGTTACCAAACTACTACCACCAAAAAAGTTGACCTCCCCGATTGTCAATGTAAAATTTACACCCTGACTATAAGTGATAATCTTCTGATGTGTGGCAGTTTTTTTCTCAGCTAAGTGAATGATACATTTTAGCAGAGCTTTGTTTTATTGTTATTTAGTATTTTGTATTTTTAGAGGATTTTCTGGTATTAAATTTAATTTATGTTGTACTTGTAATTAATCTATGACCCTTTAACCACTTTTTGACCTGTATATGAAATTCCCGACTTTGAGAAATCTTGCTGGCTTCGGAGTAGAGACCAAACGTAAAATCTCTTTTTAAAGAAAACACTGGCAGATTATAGCTGAAATGTACAATAATTTAATAATAATTAGAATAATAATAGCAACATTATAATACTAAACAAGTCATGATTTGAAGCTCAAATCTCAAGAATGAAATTATCAGTAGAGGTTTGATTTGTCGAATATTTCCATGAAATTAGTTTCTAACATTCCCCCCCCTCCCAAATTTCCAATGTGTCAGACTGTGAACTAACTGCATTATTCCCCTTCCTTACATACTTACTTATTTATGATAATAATAAAAATGGCACACCAGGTTTTGTACCAATCTGGAAATATAAAAAAATAATAATAATGAAAATAATAAAAAATCTGTTCAAATCTAGTCATAAAAATGACTAAAGAGTACCAAATAGTTCATGCCAAAGAATATAGGAATATAGGAAAGTAATATAGGAAATAAGGGCCATTCAAAATATTAATAAAAAAGTAAATATTAAAGTAAGACATTTACAATAATAGTGTAATCCTTAAAATTACCAGATATTTATATATAACATTTATATTAAATGTTCCTGTCCTTTACCTATTTAATGTCTCCGTCATGGAGATGTTGTATTGTTAAAACCATAGCTAAAGATAAATCATACCCTCAGTCCCGCTCCTGCAGATCTTCCTTCCTGCTGTGTTTGTTTCCAACCCTGCTGTTACACACCTGTCTGTGATATTCAGGAGATCCGGAAGAGCCTAATTAGCAGCTTCAAGCCTTTCCCTGTGGCCATTTTTTGCCATTGTTATTGATAGAACACAATAAAAAGCATGTAAAATGATTGGAAGAAGACGGGCCAACAAGATTAGGAAATCCTCATGGCTCAAAATGTCAGATATGCTAAACACCCGGCCATGGATCAATCAGTTTGTTTTGATATATTATTTCAAATGAAGCTTTGTTTAGAAATTCTGCAGTGTTTATATCTTGCATTTAAGTTTAAGCAATGAATGTGGTCACTTCCTGTAAAATCGGATGTGCTTTTGATCTCTTTTTAAGTTCGAAATGTAACAAATGGTAAACGGACATGGATAACACACTAATGTTTTATCTGAGCGTTTTATTCATGATTAGTTCAGTGCTTTGTTGATCCGGTGAGAGTGGTCCTGCAGTCAGCTTCATCTCTGCACAAAAGTAGGAATCAATAAAGGTTGCTAATGGAGACAGGATTTTCTTCCGTCACTCGTCAAGGCTCCTCAGACAAGCTAATATTAAGTTGCACGTCTGGGGCTTTCTGGCTTTCAGTTCATAGGCCGCTCCATTGGTGGTGGAATATTCAATTTTTGCAGCCTTCTTGATGTCTGCAAATGTTGTCTCTTTGTGAAGCCAACAGGTTTGGACTCCTCCTACGTTTGATTCCGTGGACATAGTAAGCCATAGGGCCCTATAAAGCAGACAATGCGTCCCCACAGACTCTGTCAAAGTCATTGGTGACGTGCTCCTTCAGTGTCTCCTTCTGTCTTCAAGCCTTTGGCAAAGCTTTGAGCCAAGGACATATTGATGACTTATGGACATATTGATGTAGTGACTCATGATTCCTATTCAGCAGGAGATCTGTGAGCTGAGGCTGTGAATGGATGTGTTTGTGAGGGTTGATATATGCAGTGGTTGGATGACTAAATCTTACGAGTAATTCATTGTAATAAAGCAAACGGCTACTGAAATTAAGGTATAGCACTCAGGGGCGGATTTAGTGTTTTTGGGGCCCTAAGCTAATATTCATCAACTTCTTTCTTTGTTAATGTCACACAATCAATATATCTGCTGAAATACTTTATCAAATACATGCTGTTTAGTTTTTAGTATGTAATTTTTTTTTTTTTTTCTAAAGGCAGGCTTGACAACATCTGTCTTATCGATTGAGTAGTGTTTGGTCTTTGCGTTTTTGTCCATAGCAAAGCTACACATATTTTGGCATAAAGCAAGCTGAGGTCTATAAACACTTGTTTGCTTTTACTATAGTTTGAATTCTCTGGGTATAAGCCCAGCAAAAAAAAAAAAAAAAAAAAGCTTTGGGTCGAGGAGGATTTGTTTTGAAATTATCTTTTCTCTTATGACTCTTATCTCTTCCCAAAATAATTTAATCTTTGTACACTGCCAAATACAGTGAAATAAGATTCCTCTAGCTTGTAAACATTTTGTGCAAATATCTAGTATGTTTTTATTATATTTATCTAATTCTACTGGTGTTTCATATGTCCACCTTATCCATTTATATTGTATAAGTTTAAGACGAGAATTTATAGACATAGTATGAGCCTTAGTACAGGCTTCTTCCCAGTCCTCATCCGAAACTTCAAACTGTAAATCTTTCTTCCATGCGTTCAACCTACAATATGAATTTTCGGATGAGTTTGTTGTCAGCAAACCATAAAACTCTGATATGATACCTTTTCTCAGATTATCTTTTATCATCATGTTTTCTAAAGATGAATATAGGGTCTATTAAGATTGTTATCTTGATTTGCTTTAATAAAACTTCTTAATTGAAGGTATTTGAATTTTTTTCTATTGATATTATATTTAAGCCAGTAATTTTGATATTTAATTGAGTGAGTGAAGAAATACCCCCTTTCTACTTTTATTTATTTTTATTTATATTGCTGTTTTTATATCACTTAATCTTCTTTTCAACATTTTTAAATAATACAATGTCTACATTTAAATAATTAGTTTTCTTAAAATAAATTTACAGCCAAAAATAATAATTTTTTTAAATCAATTTCACTGCTGGACAGCTCCCTGATAGATATTTTATTTTGTAATATTATTATTATTACATAACATTATCATATTTAATTGTATATTAAATAATTTTAATTATGTTAAAGTTGTATTTGTAACTCTCACCATACACTGTACAACCCAAAAAGTTAAGGTAACTTAAATAATTTGAGGAGACCGATTGCAACAAACCATTTAAGTTCAAAAACTAATCCTATTGGGTACTGTGAACTTAACCCATTTGAGTAAATAAAGCACTGTAAAACCTGACAAGTGAAGAGAAATCAAACCAGCTGAGTACTGTAAAACCCAATAGGTTAAGGCAATTCAAACCGTTTGAGGAAACCGATTGCCACAAACCATTTGAGTTAAAAAAAAAGAATCTATATACTGAGTACTGTGAACTTACTCCATTTAAGCTGAAGTAATGAGGTATTTAATTTACTCATTACCTTCAACAGTGAGTTCAAAACTCTTTTCAGATAAGTAGAATTAACTTTCAGTCAATTTTGAGTTAACTACACATTTTATTTAATAAAGTTGACTGTTGGGTTTTACAGTGTACAAAATATTGTAAAAAATGATGTTTATAGATATAATTTATACTTCTAGATATTTATTGGGGGCCTCCAGATTTCCTGGGGCCCTAAGCGGCCTCTTACCTTGCTTATTGGGTAAATTAGGCCCTGACAGCTCTGTTTCAGCTTTATTTAACAGCTTCAGATATCTTCCCTAACTTGAAAGGAGTGCAAATATTACCAAAGTAACAGAGAAAAGAGCTATAAATCCAAGTCTGAAGAGCGAAGGGAACAGTTATAAATTTGCTACACTATAAAATAAAGTGCTGATCATGTGGAAATGGTAGTAGCCTAAAGTAAAGTTTAATCATTTTAGACCATAAAATATTAGACTTCAGTGTTTTGATTGGTGTGTTAAGATGTAAGTTTTCTTTCTTGTAGTATGTGTGTTTTAAACTGTGGTGCCTCAAAGGAACCTGTCAGTCTTTTATAGAGTGCATTAGTGGCCACTTTATCCGGGAGTGCTAGTTCTGGTCGTTTTTCCCCCAACGTGGATTTTAAATAGCCATGAATCAAGCTACCAGCGATGAGAAGAGCATTGCAAACTTGATTTGAAGCAGAAGTAAATAACAATTTGATACAATATTGTGTACTTGATAATGAAGAGCTGCAGTTCCATTAAGCATTGTGAATGATACAATAAAAGTACATGTTCTGATTTTATCAAATGTACTTTTCATTAAACTGTGTATAGATTTACAGACTACAAACACAGAACAAGCTTACCGTAATGTTAACTGATACCATCGTGTTACTACACAACCAATTCCTCTTCACCAAAACTGCTCGCTAATTAGGGAATTATTGGCTCGTCTTGAAAGCAAAATAAGCAGGGTAATTATGAGATGATTTGTAAATTCTTAGGCGCTTTGTCCCTTTAATTCCGTTTTTTTTCCAACGGCGACGTCTTTTGATCACCTGTGAGGGGCGGGACATGCGCGTCGGATGGATGGAGGAGGGAGGCGCACAACTCTAGACCTACACCCGCACGGAGAGGCTCTGCTCTCGGGATGCGCGTAATCGCTACAGAGACCCTCGAATGAAATGGAGAAATAAAGCGCCATGCATCCAAAACAACTGCGGATACTGATGCTGTCGCCTTATTCCCGACATTAAGACCCGTATCGCCGCGTAATTAGCTGGAGGGAGGGGGAACTAAAAGGAAAGAGGGTCGATCATGGGGAACGAAGCGAGCCTGGAAGGCGGCGAAGCTGGATTACCAGCGGGACTCGCACCTGATGGGAAGGGTGGCTTCATCCAGATGCCCGCAGGGGTGGAGGCAGACCTCAGCAATCTGTCTGAGGAAGAAAGAAAGCAGCTTGTGGCCGCTATGGCCAGAGCGCAGTCCAGGCAAGTTGAAGTGTCTATAAATGTATGCTGTAATGATGGTGATGTCCATCCGTCCAGTGCCCGAGCGCTTGTGTGATGGGCTTGTGTTTTGATCAAGGCATTGCAGGTTGGCACATCACGACAGCAGCAACGATGCAAAACATGATCACACCCATTCACGCTCCTACTGCATGTTTACGGCCGTTTTGTGGCGAGATGTTAATTCCAGCCCAATTTTCACACACGCATACGATTGAAATTCAACACCACCTTTATGGACTTTAGTTTACTAGCTATGCGTAATGGTAAAATTACACTGCTCTGCTCAAAACCTACATGTGTATATGTATTTTTCATAATTAGTGTCATCATCGTTAATATGGTGGGTCACTGTGTGTGCACAGTGAATGTGCAGTGTTCTAATGAATTTAGTTTTGTTTAAACCGCTTGCTCAGGTCCATACAAGCCACAAGGATTATATACTGAAATAAAAATGAACATTGAAAAAAATATGAATGATCCTTTCCAAAAAAATATCCGTCCTCTGTGTATCCACATCTCCGTTGCGTTCTCCATGCACACTCCATCTTCCTCCTATGGGCTGTGTAGGTGATGTCATGAGCTGCTTTGGAAAACACTGACTGAGAATAACACGAGTCTATGAAAATTCGATCACTTGAAAGCACGCGATCGACATCCCCTGTGACATGATCTCATTCGTCATCTAATTGAATTGTGTCTTTAAATTTGCATTGGCTTAAATGTGGTATTTTTACTCAGGCGCAAATGGGGGGAGGGGGGTATAAATATTAATATGACTAAATATAGCAACGCAAGCACAAATGCCATCATGATCATTGATCGTTTTCTTATTTTAGGGAGCGTGCGTGTACTATTACACCTGAGAGCTAGGACCATGTAGCAGTTTAACCTATTATTATAAGATGTTCGCTGTCCGTGGTGCTGAAACGCGCACAGTGAAGTAAAGAGCGCCACTCGATTAGAAACAATACTCGTCTTGGAAGTGGCGTGATTATTATCTTTGGATGTCTGACTGACTGCACATTTAAATACATGTAAAACAACGCCCACGACAAACACCAGATTATTCTAGGAGTAAATTAACATCAGTGGTGCACAGAAATTAAAATATAGTGACAGTGTGGCAAAAACGATTTCTTGAATTAGTGTTTGGTCAGAATGCTTAATAGATGCTATTAGTATTAGCTCTTTTTTTTCAAAGTAATTACACACTAGTGGTCATTACTACTACTAATGATAAAGCAGTTGAGTTTCTTGATTAGTTGCTTCATTGCATTGCATTCATTTTATTACTTATTAACGTCTAAAATAAACTGCTCATGACATCAGACTTTTTCTTTTTTTTTTTTTTTCTTTTTTTTTTTTTGCTGATCCATTACCCATTTTTTTTTTTTTGGCTGTAATAACTTTTATTTTGCTTTATTGATTGGATGACTGGATTATTTGCAGTGTCATTTGCATTTTATTTTTGTAAATGGTCCAGAACAGCTTTTAAATAAATACAGCACATTTTCATCAATCACTTATTTTGGAAAGATTTATGTTGACCTGAGAGTAATATGAAGTTAACCTTATGTTTGTTCACTTCACAGGCCACCAGAGACTCAAGCTGGGGGTACCAAAGTCCCAGTCGGTCTCAGTAAGAGTCGAACAGTAGATGCTTTTGGAGAGGGGCCGCCTCCCAAGCCAAAGCCTGGACGCAGCCCCTCCTCCCTCAGCCTCCTTGAGTCACGTTTCCGGCAGGAGCCCAAAGACCCAGAACAACCAAGAACTGGCATGTTCTCATCTGGCTTCCTGAGTGGGGCCAACCCTTTGAGTGCGGTTTCTTCTGCTGTCTCCTCTGCCAGCATCCCAAAGTTTAGTTTGTTTGGTGATGATGAAGAGGAGGAGTCTGCAAAGCAGGAAGGAAAGCCTCCTGGTCCACAGAGCGGAGTGGGAAAGGGTCCTCCTCAAGGGAGTAAGCCACCTCAGCAGGGTCCCCCTAAAGGGCAGGGACCTCTTCAGCAAGGGCCCAAACCTGGTGGACCAGGACCCCATCAAGGACCCAAACCTGGTGGACCAGAAGCTCAACATCAGGCACCTAAACCTGGAGCACCAGGACCTCAACAGGGACCTAAACCTGGTGGACCTGGACCTCAGCAACAAGGACCTAAACCTGGTGGACCGGGAATTCAGCAGCAAGGACCTAAACCCAGTGGACCTGGGCCTCAGCAGCAAGGACCTAGACCTGGTGGACCTGGACCTCAGCAGCAAGGACCTAAACCTGGTGGACCTGGACCTCAGCAGCAAGGATCTAAACCTGGTGGACCTGGACCTCAACAGCAAGGACCCAAACCTGGAGGACCAGGGCCCCAGCAACAAGGGCCTGGAAAACCTGGCCCAGGGGTTGCAGGAAAACCTAGTGGACCTCAACAGCAGGGTAAACCTGGGCCAGGTGCTCTATCAGAAGGGCCTGGTAAAGCTGCACCAGCTCCAGGAAAAGCAATGTGTCCTCTTTGTAAGTCTACAGAGCTGAATGTGCAGGCCAAAGACCAGCCACCCAACTACAACACCTGTACTCAGTGCAAACAGCAGGTGTGCAGCCTGTGTGGCTTCAGTCCACCAGATTCAGCGGTAAGAGGCATCTTCTGCCTTACTATATATCAGTCAGATAAATTTCACACTGATTTAATTGTTCATCTTTATGTATTTTTAATACAGAAGATACAATACTTCTTTTTTATTTTTAATGAACACTTTAGCAAAATGAGTTTATACTTAATAATTAAAACTGTTCAGGGTTTTGCTTTTAAAACCTTTTGATTATGCATAAGAATATTTCTTTTCATTTGAGTCTAGAAGTTTAAAAGTATTGCCACAGAAGATGGAAAATTAGCAAGGTCACTTATGTCATTCAGGCAAGAAGTGGAGTTGCATTCACAAGTTATGAAGGCAGTGATACACATTTGGAATTATTCCTGGTCCATAACAGTATTAGTCACAGAGCACTGGATGTAAAGCCTTATTCTGTTTTTTTAAGAATTTACATGTGTGCCTTTCAATAAATGACTCAACCAAACTAACAATAGAAGTAAATGAAATAAAAAAACATGTAATCAAATCATAAAGTCGTGGCTTATGGGGTTTGTTAATCAATCCAAAAACAATAAAGAGCTTTTAATAACAGCAAGTTCACTACAAATTACCATGCTATATACTGGATGTTTTGTTCTGCTTAGCATAAATAAATAATGTTCTGCAAGGCCTTTTTAATGCACACAGCTTGAAGTAATTTAAATGCAGATGGCTATTCTTACAAAAATGATATTGTGCTGCATTTGTGCTCATATACCTTGACATTATCTTCTTGTTTTCACAGAGTAAGGAATGGCTGTGTCTGAACTGTCAGATGCAGCGGGCGATGGGTGGCATGGAGCCTCCTGGACCTCCAATGATGAAGCAGCCACCCAAGCAGGGCTCAGCACCTCCCTCCCCACAAAGGAAAGAACCACCGCCTGGATCTCCCTCCAAGGTTGAGCCTGGTAAAAAGCCCCCAATGCTGACCAAACAACAGAGTATTGCTGATACAGGCAAGGGAAGTACACCTCCAACAACACCAAAATCTGGACCACAGCAGGGACCTCAGCCTGGACAACTAGGGGCAAAACGTGGACAGCCTCCACCACTTCAGAAACCTTCACAGAGCCCAAAAGGTAGTCCCCAACCATCTCCAGCCAAAACAACCCCGAAGCAGGACGGAGGGGGCTTTTTTGGAGGATTTGGTCTTGGAGGTTTGACAGAGGTAACAAAACCCTCTCCAGCTGCCCAAGCTACAGAGTCCGTCACAGGAAAACTCTTCAGTGGTTTTGGTGGGGGGTCCAAACCTCAGGGTGGCTCTGCAGCTCCAGCAAGTGAGTCCGTCACAGGAAAACTTTTCAGTGGCTTCAGTGGCCTCACAGAGACGACAAAACCTTCACCAGCACCATCTCAGTCCACTGAGAGCGTTTCTGGAAAGATGTTTGGTTTTGGATCATCCTTCCTGAGCTCTGCCACCAATCTCATCTCTGGGGAGGAATCAAAGTCTCCCCCTGATTCTCCCGCAGGATCACCCCCTGATTCCCCCATTGGGTCAGATGCAGACTCCCCTGCTGGATCCCCCCCAGACTCTGGCTCAGAGTCACCTCCGGACACACCGCCAGCTTATTCCAAAGACCCAGCATCCCCGAAACCAACACCTGCTGAGAAAAAAGCATCAGCAGACACATCCCCCCCAAAATCGACAGACGTAAAGGAGGCTAAAGTTTCAGGCTCTGAGGCCCAATCCTGCTGTCCTCTCTGTAAAGTAAAACTGAATATTGGCTCAGGAGAGGTGATCAACTACAGCACATGTACGGAGTGCCAGAAGACTGTGTGCAACCTGTGTGGATTCAACCCCACTCCTCATCTCTCAGAGGTAACTCTCTCCATGTTTCAATTTCCTTTCCTTTAACACTGTGTTTCCTATTAAGTTGTAAGTTTGGGTGAAAGACCTCAAAGGGCTTGTTCTGTTTTTAGCTGCCAGTAGCTTTTAGCTTTTTTGTCACAGCAGGCAGGACGAAAATACTACTTTCGCTACTTGCTTTTGCTTGTCGTAGGCAGATGTTATTTATAATTTAGTTGGATTTGACGTTCTTATTCTAGAGGGAGTTCTATTCAACAAGAATTTGTATATGTGTCTGTGAACAGAATGCGTCATCCGATTTCGGTCCATTTTCAAGCAAGAGAAAGTATGCATTTATACTAGGGCGTGATTTCTGTCAACTTTTAAAAGCAAACCAGCATATAGACACCAATGATCCAAACACTGTTGGCTGATCTAAGATTCATGCGTTTCTCTAGAGAATGGCCTTTTGCTGTTGCTCTGAAGTTTTGATTGTTCTGTTGCATTATACATAAGGCTCATCATTCGTGTCCCTGTTTACTTCAAAAGCTCGACACTTGACTTGTGTAATTCAATGCACTCTGCGACTCTTTGACTGAATGTGTTTAAGAATGTGTGTGCACTAAGGACAGGGAAAGTCACAGTCTGATGGCATCTCAGATGACTCACCAACTTCCTGTTTGAAAATCATCCATTGCTTTTTTGTGAACAGAGAATATGAGGTGAAAGGAGAACAGTGGGGAAGCTTAGAAAGTTGTGGATCACTGAATACATTTACATGGACATCAGTCTTCAAATTATCTGCCTTAATCTGAATAAGACAATAGTATGGTTAAGTTGTTTGCATAAGTTGCTTTTTGAATGTTCCTATTATGATCCCTACATGTTATAGCACGTAATTTGATTAATGTCATTGCCTCCGGAGTTACAGGTAGTTTCATTTTTAATTTGTCGACTTTTGCTGCAGTTTGGCATTTTCACTTTCATTTGGGAACATTTCATGCATGCCCCCCATGAAAAATGAGATATTGGATGGGAGTATAAACTGGTAGGTGCAAAGAATAGTGTCAAATAGCCATTTGTGTGTATAGACTATTCACCAAATGTGGCAAAAAACCTGCACGGCAGTAATAGTTTGATTAAGATGTCTGTACTGCACAAATCGGCATACTCCACGTCTTAGTCTGATTTCTGTTTAGTTCGATTATGACCTTAATCGGATTAAATTAATCAAAAATTGCTGTTTACATGGTAGACTCTTAATCAGAGTATTGTCTTAATCGTATTAAAATCTGATTATTGGTGTCCATGTAAACGTATTCACTGTCTGTATTTACACTACTGGAATTACAAACAAGGACAGGTAATATGTTTAAAGGGAACTCACTTAACATTTACTCACACTCATGCCGAGTGGATTTCATTTTAGGTGAATTATATCTTTAATAAAAATATTAATATTATGTATAGTATAATTTTGCTGTCGTTTTATCTAATGTATTAACATAGATGCTTGGATGAAAGATCTTAACCTCTTGTACCTTTGTTGATGAATATGTTCTATAACTGGGTACTGGTTTAATTGGCTAATATATATTCTATAATTAATAATACTATCACATATTATATTAAATAATTACAGTAGCTAATGAGGTTCTTACAGTCATGGAATGCCTGTAATGCAAAAGCCTCTAATTCTTTCATTAATTATTATTCATCACAATGCATGCCTTTCCAGCTGCATCCCAGTACTGGAAAACACCCATACACTCTCACATTCACACCCACACACAAACACTCATACATTACAGAGAAATTTAGTTAATCCAACAACCTAGGTGACAGGGCTAGCCGTCTGAAATTTTAATCTAAAATATGCATTTTTCTCAACCTCCTAGTTCAACTTTTTTACTTTAAAGGCAAAACAAGGACCTATTCATAACCATAAAAGTAAAAATTAAACCTACACACACATTTCAGACGATACTTAAAGGCTTTTGCATCTGAACTCTTCATACATGTATATAAAAATAAGTAGTAGCTACATGAATGCATTTGCTCTTTGTGATTTGCTTGTGTAGACTGTAGAGAAACACTTACACGCAACCAGTGTGTCAACATAAGTCTGTCCTTTGAGGTTGGCTGCTTGTGTGACTCAGAGCTAATAATTGTCTCCTAAGGGACACAAAGTTGTCTTCCTCAAGCTATGTCACATTTCACAGTGTTTTTATTATTATTATTATAAGTATTTATACACTTTTTTGATTAGACTACAATTGTGTAAATGTATGCATTTAAAATTCAAGTTATTTATCAATTCAATTATTTGACTTGCAAACTGGCCAAAATAAGTTATATCAAATATATTCTGGCATATTTTGTGATTATTATTAACATGATATTATTACAGTGCTTCCCACTGATTTGAAATATAGTTGCGGTAGTAGCCGGATTGAAACGCATCTTTTACCCACAGCACATACATGGTTACCTACAAGCGACAAAAAATATGTGATTTTATAAAAATTTTTGATACAATGGGTTGATGTTTTTTGTTTGTTTGTTTGTTTGTTTTTTAAACCACTATTGGTTTTACTTTTATTCAGGAGCCATGTGCACCTACTGACAGGGAAAAATCTGCTGCTGATATTTTATACAGTATTGCCAAAGCATGTTAGATATACAGTTGAAGTCAGAATATTAGCCCCCTTCGAATTATTTTCTTGTTTTTTAAATATTTCCCAAATGATTTTTAACAGAGCAAGGACATTTTCAGAGTATGTCTGATATTATTAGACATACTAAATGAAGTCTTATTTGTTTTATTTCGTCTAGAATAAAAGCCGTTTTTAATCACCATTTTAGGGACAATCTTTAGCCCCTTTAAGCTATTTTTTCTCGATAATCTACAGCAAACCATCGTTTTACAGTAACTTGCCTAATTACCTTAACCTGCCTAGTTAACCTAATTAACCTAGTTAAGTCTTTAAATGTCACTTTTAGCTGTATAGAAGTGTCTTGAAAAATATCCAGTAAACTACTATACTGTCATCATGGCAAAGATAAAATAAATCAGTTTTTAGAGATGAGTTATTAAAACTATTATGTTTAGAAATGTGTTGGAAAAATCTGCTCTCCATTAAACAGAAATTAGGGAAAACTAAACAAGTGACCTAATAATTCATAGGGGCTAACAAGTCTGACTTCAACTGTATATAAATTATGTAAAATATCACCATCATCAAATAAAAAAAATAGAGCAAATGAGAAATAAGAGACATCCATGGAATACAAATCTCAAAAAAGTATAAAAATTACAAGAATAAAAAGTGTAGATTATTTAAACAAGGCAAATTAGTTGCTTTTTTTACATTTCTAATGGTGTACAAATATTTTGCAGCCAGTTTAAATGTCATTACCTCTCTGAGTAAATAGAAAAAAGTTTTTTTCGAGTCGATTAGATCAAAGAATTTATTATATATTGTTTCTCTCGCTTGCGGATGTGCACGCGCTGTCATCTGCAAAGCCAAGCGAAAGTAAATCATGCTTAAAATAACAATGTAATGCAAAAACACATACAATTAACGATGGTTTAGAAAGAAAAACCAAAAGTCGAATCCCGGACATTTTAGGAGATTTAGAAACCCCGGATAGATCCATTTTACGTCCCAAAAAAGGCACATCTCTGTGGGTCTCTGCAGAGCACGTGAGATTGTCTATGGGAGTGATGACAGCTCTGGCGCACACACAACGAAAAGTGGGAAACGTGTAGGGCAAGAGGAGATTTTTTCACTGGTTAATCGATCGCAAATGTTTGGCTATTGGGTGGATATAAAAAAAAGTGTTAAAGGATGATAATAATAAAAAATAAATGTCACCAAATATACTTTGGTGTTAATATACAGTACCTGGGCAGCCCACCTAAGTAAAGTCAATGTGTGGAAAGCACTATATTATATATTATGCATATCATACTTTTTTGTGTGTGCCATGGAATTTTATTTATGAAATATATATGTATTTTAAGTTAAAGAGCATCTGTAAGCAGATTATAAATTTAAGGGAACTTCACGTGTTCCTCCGTCCAAATGAACAGGTTATTCTAAGCTGACATGTTTTGGCCTGCAAATCATGTCCTTTGATCACATGTAAACCAGCCTCTGTGTTTGATCCTGGGTTTGTCATGCTCTCTGTAATCTCGTGAGTCTATTTCAGGTTTTCCAAGCAGATTAGCCAAAGCATGTGCGTCCGGTTTCACCTCACATGGTACGGGCAATGACTTCACCCATTATACTGTCAAAAGTACTCTTCCAAGATGGCCGGCGACACTGATCCCAAACCAGACTGGAAAGCAAAGACAGCCCTGTCATTTTTAACTACAGGCAGGCTTTATTATATCAGACGTTAATGCATGCGACTACATGCCTTTACTTTGTTTTGTTTATTCGCCAGATTGTCCTGATCAAAAAGGCTCAAGGCCATGCAAAATTGTGTTATCTGGATCAGTGCTGAAGTGCTTCCATTTGAGTAACATCCTCACTTGAGATTAGATTTAGTCTCTCTCTCTTCCTGCGAGGTTTCAACACGACTTGTGCTACAGAGTGTGCATGTGAGTTGTTCTGTGCAAGTGTGTGTAGTAATCTGTTCTGGCTAACAGGATTTAAAGGTCAACAGTTGTGTTTTTCTTAAAGGCCACGTAAGAGCCACATTTGAAAATCTTTCAATATGCACATGGTTTGAATATGACACACTTTAGGCTTTTGGAAAGTCATTATTTCCTATTCTTCTGTCTCTCCAGTGGCAAAACACCTTCTCCATTCAGTTTTTTACTTATTCATGTGACAATTTTTGTGTTTCTTTGCCACTTTCCACCCTCCTCCGTGGAATAATATGACTTGAATCAGAAACTCCGACAACTTCCATTTCATCTTGGTTCTTTCTTCTTGCTCATTCTTGACACTTCTCTCACTGCTTGTTTTAGAATTTGAAAAATCCTCCCAAGGTATCACAGTCTGTGCGTTGTATAAAACATA